GGTAGGATGCCAGGAGGAAGTAAGAAGATTCAGTGTTCTCTTCTATGGGTTCAAGGAATGGCTGGGTGCCTGGCTAACCCTTAAAGTCAAATCTTGCATAAGAAACATACCAGAAAAGAGTTGCTAACCTTAAGTAGTCCAAACTGCTCTGGGAATACCTGAGTTTCCTTTATTAGAGATGCTTTTGTATTATGGGAGCCCCCTAGCCCCATGATTCTCAGGATTTGAGAGACCAACTTATCTTTTGTAAGGCCCCTATTAAAGATGTTATACCTCTCTGAATGCTCTCTTATGCCCCACATATAATCCATGTTTTCTTGCCTTTTTGTTTGTTTATTTGTTTGTTTTGAGATGGAGTTTTGCTTTTTCGCCCAGGCTGGAGTCCTGTGGCACAATCTCAGCTCAATGCAACCTCCGCCTCCTGAGTTCAAATGATTCTCCTGCCTTGGCCTCCTGAGTAGCTGGGATTATAGGCGCCCACCACCATGGCTAGCTAATTTTTGTATTTTTAGTAGAGATGGGGTTTCACCATGTTGGCCAGGCTGATAATTCCCGAACTCAGGTGATCCACCTGCCTTAGCCTCCCAAAGTGCTGGGATTATAGGTGTGAGCCACTGCGCCCAGCCTTTCTGGTCTTTCTGTCAACAAAGAATGTAAGAACAAATATTGGTTGAATGAATATCTATAGGCAATTCACCTACACATGCGATAGTTTCCGTTTGAAGGACGTTATTTTCTAACATCAAAAGAGTGAAGATATTTTGCCCCATAACAAACAGAAATTGGGGATAATTGTAATTTTTCAAAGACCAAGAAGGGAGACAAAATATCCAGCCTTAGTCTATAGCAATTTTGGCTTTAGAACAGAAGAGGTAATGTAAAAGTAAAAGGGTCTGCAGGAGGCACCGCTCTAGAGATCTAGGGGGGTTCCCACCCGTCCTCTACTGGGATAGTCCCGCTGTTCAGAGATGAAGATTTGGGAGCTCATAATGCTAATGATGTATAAATTCATTTTCATCTATTTTATTAAACTGGCCTTTCCGGGTTCATTATCATTAATATTTATGGTTGGAATATGTTCCTCCAGAGACTCTGCAACTAGCTCTTCTATTGTTCAGGTAAAATTTATAGCAAGTTAGACTAAGAGGGAGTACTGCATGAGCCCAGGCTTGCACTTCCCATAGGAATTGAAAGCTTTACTGATGGTTTTGGATGGGTGTGAATCTTCAGTCTATAGGTCCAGCCATCTTTTAGATATAGGTCATTAACTATGCTTTTATGAATCCAAGAGGGAATATAAAGTTATACGTGCCAGAAGGCAGAGAGGTGTGGTGCAAATGTCCCGAGATCACATCCTCCTTCATTGTAACTGGCTCTGGCAAATTCTTCCATTTGCTGCCACAGTCTCTGCCCCAACAAAGCATCACGGTTTCCTCTGGATGCAAAGGTACAGGCAGGACTGTATAGCAACAACTGTGAGTTTCCTGCCTAGTGGGGTGGAAGTGTGTTCCTCCCCTGAAGAGCCCACATAGAGCTCTGGCACTTGCAGCAGTACCATCTGCACCTGCCAGAGATTTCACGCTGCTATGTTGCAAATAGGGCTTGAAATTTCTGGCTGGGTCAGGAGGAAGGAAGTGGCTTGACCACTCAGCCATGCATCTGATGACAAGCTCTGGGTGGGCAGGAAACTATGGGAATAAGACAGATTTGGGTATTAGAATCAAATGTTACTTCTGGTACACTTTAAAACAATGTGCTATTCTGGGCCTCCTCAAAACAATTTTTGGGGATGGTATGGAGGGGTCTCACAAGGGTATGAGCCCCTGAAAATGTCATGCCAGTTCCATAGGCATGGCCAGAGCAATGCAAGTTCACATCCCTGATGTCTTAAAGACACCTGACAGCAGGCTCAGGTGAACTCCTCCCCTGTAAAACCAAAGGGTCAGAGAGATGATCTGTAGGGTTCTTTCCAGGCCTGAAAGTTTGTGACTCAAAAAAGAATGGATTTCCCTTCATTAGTATACTTCCTGGTTATTTGGATTCTAGCAAGATCTTGTTTATGTTGGAAATTGTTAGCAGATGCTGAAGCTGTCCAGGTCTGAGTGAGTACTATGGTACTCAGGCTTCACTGGGCTTAAGGAACAGATTGTGATGAAGGCAGTCATTCACCTGTGATGAAGACCAACCCTGCAGCTTCATTTCCTGTCATTACAGACTGTGTCTGGGCCCAGTCAGGAGGGGCTTATAGGGAATGGGTGCAGGCAGCACTAGGGTCTCTAGGGAGAGCAAGTACAAATTGGATACCACCTAGAGGTTGAGAAGTGGAGAATAAGTTCTTAAAACAGCTAAAAAATGAAAGAGACGTGACAACAAAGTGCAAGGTATGACCCTTGATAGGCTCTTAGATTAAAAAAAAAAATTGACCACTGGGTCAATTTGAATATGATTGCATGTGATGTGATATTATTGCATTAACATTAAATTTCTTAAGTATGAAATTGGTGTGGTGGTTATATAAGAGGATGGTTTAATTTTGGAGAAATACCTGCTATTATAGTATCTGCAACTTTTATATGCCATGTGTGTGTGCACATCTGTATCTGTTTATATATAATATATACTTTGAGAGATGAAGCAAATATCATAAAATATTAACGGTTTGTGAATGTATGTGAAGCTTGCATGGGTGTTCCTTGTGCTATTCTTTCTAATCTTCCCTAAGTCTGAAGTCTTTTAAAATAAAAAGTATGAGAAAATGGCCCCAAAGTCAGCTATGTGCCATAGCATAGCTTCTCTATCCTACAATCCTTCTGGGTTTATTCATCCCACAAGGCAAGGCGGACACACTCCTGATACACTTTAGGCTCACTGCCTTATTTGCTCTCTTCTCTCTGAAGACAGAGTCAGCAACCTCCTTAAAATTGTGTGACTTGTTGACGTAAGGAATTCAGGATTGTCCCTAAAACTCATGTCTGTGTCTTGGGCTGCTCCTCCTCACCACCCAAGTAAGAGCCATTTTTGAGTGATGGCAACAATGTCGGCAAAAGCAAACATGTGTTGAATATTCACTGTGTGCCAGGCGTTTTATCTGCATCAGCTCACCTGATTCTCATCAACAAACCTGGGTTCAGTTCTCTTATCACCCTGTTTTACAAATTAGACTATGAGACTCCTACTGCTGACAAGCAGCAGAGCCAGAATTTGAAGATTCCAGGGCCAGTGACCCCAAAACCTTCATTCCTGACCACAATTGAGCATGTCTTGGCCTGCAGCTGCATTGCAACTACCTGGAGAACTTTTGCAAAACATACATGTGCGGGCTCTGCTCCCAGGAGCACTGAGTCATGCAGTGGGGCTCAGACATCTGTTGCATGCATAGCTTTGGCTGTTTGTCTTTAGACTCCCTTCTCTGTCAGCCTTGGGTAAGTTTTATCCATGGCCTGTCTCCTCTCCCATCGCCACTTGAGAGAGTAAGTCCCTTTCACCTTAGGGATTTGGTGTGGCTCTTTCTTCTGCTGATACACCATCTGTCTGGGTAGCCTATGACAGCCTCACAGGGTGCAAGTTGGGGCCAGTGCTGTGGCTGAACTAATAAATTTACCAGGCATCACTGTCACACTTGGCTTGATGTGGAGCTGTGGCAGGAACTCAGGTCAAAGTGCCTGTGGCCCCCTGAATTGGGCAACCTTTGCCTCCTGACGGTCTTCTGGGGAAGGAAGACAGAGGTGCAAGGAGGAGCACGCTTCAGCTGTATCTGTAATGTTTCATTGCTTATTTTTTGGATGAATCTCAAGAGAATTATGTGGGGGAAAAAGTCAATCCCTAAAGGTTATGTACTGTGTTATTCCACTTACCATTTTTTTTGTTTTTTTTTTTTTTTGTTTTTGAGACGAAGTCTCACTCTGTTGCTCAGGCTGGACTGAAGTGGTGTAATCTCAGCTCACTGCAACCTCCACCTCCCATGTTCAAGTGATTCTCCTACCTCAGCCTTCCAAGTAGCTGGGATTACAGGCAAGCATCACCACATCTGGCTAATTTTTGTATTTTTAGCAGAGATGGGGTTTCACCATGTTGGCCAGGCTGGTCTCTAACTCCTGACCTCAGGTGATTTTCTTGCCTCGGCCTCCCACAATGTTGGGATTACATGCGGGAGCCACCATGTCTGGCCTACATACCATTTTTGGTATTAAAAAATTATATAAATGGAGGACAGCTTAGTGACTGTCAGGAGTCAAAGGTTGGAAAGGGGTGCTACCAAAGGGCATCTGAGGAATCCTGCTAGGGATGGAAATATTCCGTATCTTGATTGAGTCACTGTCAATTTCCTGGTTGTGATACTGTCTGGAAGATGTTGCCACAGGGGGAAACTGTATAAAGGACACACAGAATCACTATATTATTTCTGGAATTTTCATATGAAACTTCAGTTAACTCAAAATGCAAGGTTTAGTTGGAAAAAAAGAGGATATAAAACAAATGTGGCAAAATATGAACATCAAAATATTAACATCCCTTTTGTATGGGTTTGGGGTGCATGGAAATCTTTTAGATTTGTTACATTATTTTCACGTTTTCTGAATGTTTGCAACATCCAGTAAAAATAAAACCTTCTGGAGTTATCTACTCAGCCTTCTATGTATGAAACCTTGCCTAAGACTCATTCCTGGTCCCCTCAGACTGGTGTGCTAGAAGCAGTAGTCAGAGGGATGGAAGAGCTGCTTAGGTTGGCACTGACCCCAGTGGGAACCATGATTCTGACTCCCTACCATCCTTACCTAACCTGGGAAACCATCAAACACTCTTTGAGTATTGGGCTTTCTACCCTCCTTATAGCCCCTACAATGCTGTACTGAATCTCCTTGGCATATCTCAGAAACGGGCGAAATTCCACTTTTGTACTTGATGACAGCTACTTCTAGAGTAAAAGAAGTTTCACAAGGAGCCCTGTCTTACTAGAATCCTTGGTTTTGTGTATTATAAGACAATAGAGACACATATATCAGAATTCATTTATTGTAACACTAAAGTACAACTTTACAATATCATCCAAAGGGACTAAACGAGATATGCAGAATAGTTTAAATGTAGAAACAGAAAAGAATGTTTCAAGGGTGAGTTAAATTGAAATCGAATTTTAATAATCATTAGAGAGTCAAGTGTTTCCAACCTGGTGTCAGCTGGACAACCTTGGCCATCGCAGGTCTATTCACATGGATTCTGAATGACGATCAGAAGATATTCCTTATCTATGGAGAGATGGACAAAATCAATTCACCCTTAATTTAAATCTAATCAAGGAATATTTCAAGTAGCCTGCTTTTCTCTTCAAAACATCACATGCACCTTGTGCAGACAGATGGTTTTCCACCTTGGCAGCACATCAGGGTGGAAAGGCTCACCCTGTTGAGCCTTTAGAAAATACCCATTTCCTAGGGCCCAGCCTCACAGATTCTGATTTCATTGGTTTGGGGTGAAGTCCCAGGAATGGAAACATTTTTAAAAAGTCCTCCAAGTGATTTACTGTGTAGCTAGGGTGAGGACACTGGTGTACAAAAAGCTTTATTTCGTTTATAGGCAATTCTGATTTGATGGATGTGCTATAGAGAAGTTGGTTCTAGATTAGATTTAGTAGCATAGGTCACTTTTTATAGTCATTTTGTAACATTGTAGCATAATTCCTTCAGGAAAAGAAGTGTTTCTGTGGCTGCTGTCTTCTGGTATACCTGGGGGATGTACTTTCCTCACAGGGAGGGTTTAAGAACCTGTAGGCCTTAGGTTCACTGCCGACTTTATCCCCAGGACAGGGAACATTTCTCCTGCTCCGCAGACAGTCTGTATGCTAAGTTTGCTGAAAATGACACCTACATTTTCTAAATTTTTTGATTAATAATAATTGCAAGTGGGCAAAATTCAACCTGTTCAAAGGTGGTCATGGGTCACATTAATTGCTAATTTCATACAATTTCTAGGTTGGGATTTTTACATTCAAACATCATTTTGTAATAGAATATTATGTTTCATATTGTACACTAAAATCTATACTCCCCATTCATAGAAACAAGGCTTTTATCTAGTAAAGCAGAAAGATGATTTAACTAGGAAATGAAATGCCAGATTACCTGGAGCTACCATGATTTCATGTTTCTTTGATCTAATCCTGAGAAAAGTCAGGTCGTTCTGAGGATCAATGTCACGAACTGTGCTCCTGGCTTTCATGGTCAGCTGGTGAAGGAGGCCTGCATATTGCACGGTTGTTGAGTTGTCCAAGGTTGTTCGGATGGGAATACCTATTAGGAGATTTAATTTTAGTAAATTTTTTTTTCTGATTAGAAAACTAATAGGTACATTGTGGAAGCACTGTAAAACACTGATAATTGTTAAGAGGAAGAAAAAGTGATGGCTTATTACTCTCTGGTAACAATTTTAGTTTAATTTCTTCCAATCTTTTTGTCTCTGTGTAGATTTTTAAGTATAGTGGTATGAAACTGGACTTACAAATCTGACTGTTGCTTTTTTCTTCATTTAAATTATAATATACAAGTTGTCCTTGTTGATAATGTTGTCAACATTTTTTTTAGTAACTGCATACTTTACTATTTTATGGACAAATAATCAATCTCCTATCGTTTGGTCATTTGGTACCTTATTTTTTTATAGCTAATGGAGTGATGATGAACATTTTTGTGCACATATCTTTCAGAAGCTGTTAACTATTTCAGTACCAAGTTAATATATTTTTATATGAAATGCATTCCCCTGGGCATCATGTCGATAGTGAGTCTGCTTTGAAGTGTTTGATCTGTGACATGGTTCTTCCCTGAGGCCAGAACCAAAAAGGGATATCACTGCACATGCCAGAGGGTACATCAAAAGGGACTCCTCACACAGCATTTTGCAAACCTTAAATTGTATGTTAGAAAATGTGGTAATAAGGATACTGTAGTTTTACTGTGCATTCCCTGGTTTTCACTCATTTTTGGTTTAAACATTATTAAATTTGGCTACTTGTGTGCTCTATTGTTCTGTTACTTGAGTTTAAAACAGAAGCTGTTAACTGGAAAATTCTAGCCAGAAAAATATGCAAGTGTAATTCAATTCAGTTGAAATCAATCTAGCTCAACTCAGATCACCCAGCATTAATGCCTATTATGTACCAGGCACTGTGGTAGGTATTTTACATATATGGTATCTAATCAGAGATAGCCTTCATATTATTTTGAGAACTACCAGATAGCCATGGAATTCCAGGGACTGGATTTGCAAATATGCCTTGATTTTAGGAGGACATATGCAGGTGAATTTGGGATTGCTGTCAAATTCCTTAGGTATCCGTATTAAGGGCACTCAAGAAATGAGACTAATGTGGCTCCTGGTGTGCTTCAGAGAATGTAGCTCCAGAAACTATGAAACAAGATGAGTGCTTTCAAGACTGGCAGGGTGTTACGAACAGGATTTTACCAGGTTTTCATAAAAATCTTGAAAATCATCCATTTTGACTTTGAAATGACTGATTTCTCTTTCTTTCAAGATAACTGCTATGTTCAGAATGTTTTGCTACACAGTATGAGGATAACATTTACAGGAAAACCTATTCAATAATGAAAGTATCATAAAAACCTTGCTTATCTTTGTATGGTGATTTGTCGACCACTTTTTCCCTGGAAGGCAGTCAGCTGTCTTGCATACTTGAAGGTCACAAAGCATGGATCTTTAACATGGATCTTTAACAGGATATGAAAATGCAGCAAGCATGCAACCCTTGAAGGGAACTTTTTGACGAGCAGTTTTATTTTACATCCTAAGTATTGACTACCTACTAAGTAGCCAAACAAGAAATACAACCAGAATAAATTATTTAAAATGTAGATGACAGGATTATGAATCAGATGCTCAGGTCTATTTAGTTAGTCTGTTCATGATCCAAGTCAATAAATAAAACAGCTAGCTGTTTTGAATAATGAGTGTGCACGGTTGAAACACACGGAGATTTTCGTATCCACCACACACTCTTGAAAAAAATCCATCAACAAATGTTTATTGAACTCTTGCTTGGCACCATGTGAAGTAATTAAAAAATAATTTATTAAGAAGTAATCTTAGCACATGGCATGAAATTCACCCACTTCCCTTCTGAGAAACAACTGGTTTGTTAGGAGCCTTCCTGACACTCTAGGTCCACTCAAGAATGAAGGTGTTTGTATTCTTCATTTTAATGATACCATTCTGTATTCCGTACCTTGATTTTTAAATTTAATACTCTTTGGAAATTGATTCAGTACACGTAAGTCACTCATATTAGTGACTGAATAGCAGTCTGTTGAATGGATGTTTTGTAATACACTTAACATGTCCTACGGATGAGCATTTAGGCTGTTACCAGTCTTTGACTTTTGTAAACATTACAGAATATGTCCTTGGTCACCTCATTTCACATTTGTATGTGCAGGATAAATTCCTAAAGTGAAGCTCCTAGAACAAAGAACACGTGCATTCTAAAATCTGGTGGGACTACTTTAAAATATGTCTCTCCATGATCCTAGGAAAATGGCACCTATTATTTCAGTTTGTCATCTTTAACTGCACATTTGTGCTTCGGTTGATAGACTGTACTTCAAAACAAAAGGAAGTGGCTGGATGGCTGTTACAATCTAATGAAACTCACATGACAGATTGTTAGAAATGTCAGGAATAGTTAAAATTAAGAGTCTGTAGAAATCAGACTTATGTACATGAGAAAATATGATACATCTGACTGCCTGGGGGGCAGATATACATATTTTCCAGTATCTAATTCAATGATCAGTGTTGCAGTATTGTCAACAATGAATGGTTTTATAAAAGAGAAACCAACATTAACAAAAAATCTGCTCTAATCAAAACCTGCAGCATTGGGCTAAATTGGGAAGCCTACTTTACGGTCATCAGTAGGAAGTCTATGTTTCAATAGCAGTGAAACAGAAGGACTGACTATATTTAACATGGCCTATGATGATGGCTAAATGAGTAAGCATGGTAGAAGTCCAACCTAACCACAAATATAATCTGAAAATGTTAAAATGATTTGCCTAGAATTAGTAGACCAAAACCGCTAGTAGAAAAGAAGAATACATAAAACACCATCTCAGCTAAATATTTTGGTATTACATTTCATGGGGCTTCCCAAAGCTGCAAAGCTGCAAAGCTGCACTGTAATAAATGACGCTTTCATCTAAAATTCAGTAGGTTGTTGAAATTGAGTATTTTATTACATTCTGGTCACACAGCTTACACCATATGCTATTAATAAACATCCTTGTCATATACTCTGGTTATTAATAATCCAATCATAAAAATAAGCCCCTCATTTATATTTTAGGGAAAAAAAGGTTAATTTTCCTTTCAGGTAAAAAGTAAAAACTCTTAGGTACCCTGAAACCTTGAAAAGTGTCCTGAATCCTAATACAAAATTATTCTAGTAGAGGTTAATTACAAGTTAATGGGTATGGAAAATAGTATTTTGTTGCCTTCCGATAAGAGAAGTGTTAATTGAGGAACCTTAGGAAAATAAAGTGAAAATCACTTTTCATATCACTACTCAGGGTGCTCACTATAACATATCCCTACTCTTCCTTCCCTATTTATTTGAAGTGTTTGTGTGCACCTGGCCATAGATAGGCTAGGAAGGCGCTGGTGACTGCTTTGTTCTGTTTTTTTTTTCATCTAATATTGTGAGTAGTTTCCCATGATAGTAAGTATTCTTTAACCTTTTAAATAGAGTAATGTTCATCAAGTAAATATTACAGTTACTTAAAAAATTCCTCTACTGTTAGGATATATTTACTTATTTGTTCTGTTTATTTATTTATTGCTATTATATATGATGCCTCAGTGAGTGTCCTCATACCTAAATATTTTCTTCATCATTGTTTAGGATAAATTGCTAGGAGTAAAATTATAGATCAGAGGGGTGAATATTTTTCAGACATTTGATGCATATCACCTGCTTTAGATCTTCCAAAGAATCGCATTAGATGAGTGGTTCTGGGTGTCACAGGTGAATGCACCTTTACAGGGTCGAAAAGTGTCCCCCCATTCTCCCCAAATCCCCAAATTCAAGTCCAATAAAACCTCAGAAGGTGACCTTATTTGGAAACAGGGTCTTTGCAGATGTCATTAGTTAAGATGAGGTCACACTGGATTCGGGTAGACCCTAATCCAATAACTGGGATTCTTATAGCAAAACAGACAAAGACATACAAGGAGGAGAATGCCAATGTGATGAGGGAGGTGGAGACCAGAGTGAGTGTCTATAGGCCAGGAAACACTAAAGATTGACAACTACCAGAAACTAGGAAGAGGCAAGGAATGATCCTCCCTTAGTCTGCAGAGAGCATGAGCCTGCGGACATCTTGATTTCAGCTTCTAACCTCCAGAACTGAAAGAATACGTTTTTTTTTTTTTTTTTTTTTTTGAGACGGAGTTTCACTCTTGTTACCCAGGCTGGAGTGCAATGGCGCGATCTCGGCTCACCGGAACCTCCGCCTCCTGGGTTCAGGCAATTCTCCTGCCTCAGCCTCCTGAGTAGCTGGGATTACAGGCACGCGCCACCATGCCCAGCTAATTTTTTTGTATTTTTAGTAGAGACGGGGTTTCACCATGTTGACCAGGATGGTCTCGATCTCTTGACCTCGTGATCCACCCGCCTCGGCCTCCCAAAGTGCTGGGATTACAGGCTTGAGCCACCGCGCCCGGCCAAGAATACGTTTTTGTTGTTTTAAGTTGCCAGGCATGTTTTAGTTTATTACTGCAGCCAAAGGAAACTAACACAGCATCTCTATGAAATCACGTAGATGGCTCATCTTTGAGGCTGTGGCAGAGCGTATGAAAATACCTGGAAATAATATCAACACAACCAGATCCACATACTAGGGCTGGAATGCTTCCTGGAAATATTCTGCTTCGTTCTTGACTTACCTTTAAGGCAAATCTTATATCCTCTTTTCCCTCTGATTATTCAAGCTAGATAAATTTATTATGTTCTATTATCTCTCTTACTCATTTGGCCTTGAGTTACTTGTTATTTTAGAAAACAAATGTTTTATCCATATAAATGAATTGAAAATCCCCACATTCTCATAACTATTTAATTACTATTAAGTGTTGGGTATTATGCCAAGCATTCGACAATTATTACCTCATTTAATTATCAAAACCACCAGTAAAGTAGGTTATTGTCCATTCTTAGTGGTAAGGAATCGTAGTTCAGAATTTAAGCAGACTTTCGGTTAGTAGTTGCTCAATAAATATTTACTGATGGATTTTTCAAAGTGGTGAGACAGTAATATGCCAATTCCATGGGTGCACCACAAAATATGTAAAGTAGCTACTCTTAGTTTAACTAATGCTCTGGAGTTTCTGTTACCTCTTGCCCTTACACATGCCTGAATTAGCAATGAAACCAGCAGGAACTCTTAAGAGGTTGCCACCATAGCTGAGCATGTAGCAATGTGCCATAGAAAATTCAATGTGAATTCTTAACAAGGATTGTGCAGCAAGAGCAAGTTTTGGTAAGTCTACAGATTTCATAGTTGGAAGTGTATAGGCCCTTCTTATACTATATCCACAAAGACTATATCATAAACGATATAATTAATTCTCAAAAGATTTTTAAGTAAAATATGTTCAAGGAACAAGTTTCATTTAAAATAAAGACTGAAATTCTGGAAGGTTCATAATGTTGAAACAAAACTACCAACAAGGATATTCTATCTTCTATATGGTTTTATTGGCACTTCTGAAATGTTGGAAGAGAATTACCAACGCTTTAAAAAGTAAACACTGTATAGTGCTTCTTAGGAGTATATAAACATTTTTAGACATGTCTTATTCATATTTATGACCCTAGATCTTAGCAGAGTGTTTGGCATATAACAGATACTCGATAGATGTTTGGTAAGTGAATGCCAGAGGTAAAATATATAAGTATATTTTTGATGTCAAATTTGAAGATGTTTGTCGTAAGGATTAACACAGCAAACAGGTTCCTGGTTGGCTTCTGCATGTCAAGAAGACAGCCTGTGATATATTTACCTTCTGCATTTACAACCATAGTTCCAATAACCCCTTTATGGCTCTGGATCCTCTTTAAGGTTTCCTCCACCTCTGCCTGAAAGAGACCAGAAAGATCATTAACCAAAAGGGCTCTTGTGGTAAATCCAACCCTAATGAGAATAATGTTTGGAAAGATACCTACTCCGCTGTCTCCTTAACCTAAGGTGCCAGGTGTGATAATCTCAGCTTTCTGAAAGACAGCTTGGAAACTGTCAAGTCCCACATACATAGCTATATAAGACCTCCTGCATACAATCCTGACAAATCTCTTGGCTTTAACCCTTGTAGAGACAGAGAGCTTACTGCTTCACAGGAATTCACTCAATTTTTATGTTTCTATTTGTTAGAAAAGTATTCTTTACGTTGCACAGAAATTTGTCTCAGATTATCTTTCATTCATTGATCTCTTAGTATTCACATGAAAATTCCTTTTCTACATTATAGTGCTTTAAATATTTATAGAGCTATATCATGGCCTCCCTCTGTCGAAAAGTAGTCCTTATTGAGAAATCTTATTTTCATTAATGTGACCTAATCAGGAGTTCAGATGATTAAATTTAGAGGATATTCTATAAAAACAACGTATTCCAGGATTCTAGGATTTCTTTGATAACTATAGCTTGCAACTCAGTGCAAGCTGAATGTTCAACCATTAATAATTATTCTGGAATCTATTATTGTGTTTTAAACTCATTCTGAACCTTATCTGTGGACTATATTTTGTTTTCTTCCCCTCTAGAAAAGTCAAAGTCAAGAACAATCTTTTCCAAATCTATAAATTGTTCATGACTGAGCAATCACTGGATATTCTGAATTCAAACAGTATTCTGCAAATTCTCTTGATGAGAGTTTGCTATATTCTTTTTTTTCCTCAATATTACACAGGTGAACATTACGTTACTTCAAGACAGTTTTCCTTTGCATGTGATACGGGCATGAGCACTCATTTCCTCTATCATAGCCAGTGTTTCCTTAACTTTAGGCATTTGTGTACTAGATTCATGATTTTTGCCATTATGAGCGTCATGTATATTATTTATCTGGGTGTTCTTTAAATTATCTCCCTGCTAAAAGCTTTAATAAATGCATTTTAAGAGGAAACCATATATCACTATCACAAATGGAAACCTGATGTTATTCATCATAAATCGAAATAACTGTAAAACAAAATGAACAAAATGGAGAGACAGTATTATCATTAAATTTTACTGCAATGAAAGCTCGGAGCCTGAGGTCTCCTCTTAGGATGAAAAAATTGAAATTACCAAATGACAGTGGTATTAAGAATATAATAGTAACAGAAATTTTCTCCTGTATGTAGTCGGAAGGTTGAACAAAGTGTAAGAGGAATAACTTTCTCAAGATATGATTCACTCATAGTTAGCATTTCTGGGCCATTTTATATAGCAAAGAATGTTTGCATCCCACTTTGAGAAACCCTGCACTAAACTGTAAGATGTGAACAGGGGATCAGTAACTTACTGCATTTTGGGAAATCTTTAGGATGATGCCCACAGTTTCTTACAGCCACTCTGTCCTCATTTGTCTTTCTCTCTGCTGCGTATCTTCCAAACTCCTGTCTTTTCTCTCCCTGGCCTATTTCTCCACCCAATTGTTTCTCTTCTTAGGATTTCTGATTCCTCCTAGTATAATTTCTTAATCCCCATCTCATTCCTCTCTTAACGCCCTTTGCTTTCCACAGTTTCTACTTCTTTTTTCTTACCATTTTTCTTTTGGTGGGGGGAGGAGTCTCCCATCCCTTCTTTCCTTTTTCATTATTTCCCTTTCTTCTTTTTCAGTATCTTCCCTTTTCACCCTTCCATTCCCTTGCTCTTGCTTTCCCATCTCCTCCTTGTTTCTAAGAGTATCTGATTCTCTTCTCCATCTCGGCCTCCTGCCCCATCTTTAGAAACTTTCCTGGCTCCCCGGATTTCTCACTCCCCCAAGCATTTTTGATCCTCTCGATATCTCTCTTCCCTTTCTCAACATCACCCCTCCCCAGGTACCAGCCCCGCGAAATCAACTCCCAAGACAGCTTCCACTCATCTAGACATCTTTCCCCTTTCCAAAGTCTCCCTCTCGCCCCTCCAAGAAGATCCTGGAGCCACCAGCTTCTACCGCAGCCCCGGGACCCGGGTGGGCCCCAGAGGCTGGGTAGCAAAGGTCTTTGCCGGTCGGCGTCCTTAGAGCGGCGGGGCGTGGACGGAGACCCCAGATTTACCATCGCGCAGGCTGCGAGACTCTGGGTTCACGCCGGCGCCACAGCCTCCCGGGATGTCAACAACGCTACCAGCCGTTGCTAGGAGACAAAGGAGGAAGTGGCCCCCGGAAGTGTAGGGGCCGCGCCTGCGCGCTTGTGGGTCGACGCTTCCGCCCTGATCGTAGTCCTGATGCCTCCAGGCCGCCGTAGGTGAAGGTTCACGGAAGCGGCCAGCAGGCGCTCACCTGAGGTTCGCCCAAGCCTGTGGCGGTGGGGCCTGGGACGGAAGATATGAGCAGGCCGGGCCCCTGGCCTGTGTTCGTCCATTTATTCATTCCTTGAGGGACGAATTAATGTAATAGCCACTCATTCGTTCAAGAACTGCTTATTCACCACCCACCAGTTGCCAGGGAGACGGACAAAATGCACCAATCGAAGCAGTAATGTCCACGTGTGGTACTTGCCCTGGAGCAAGTAAGCAGGTGACAGGGCCATCTCATTCCGGGATTGGGCTGCCGTAGGGGTTTGGCGATAATCTCAGCTGCCTGTGACTGTCCATTAGTACTGCCCTGTGCAGGGCTGATAATGTTCGCTCCTCTCCCAATAGTTTTTATATTGAAGAAAAATATATCACAGCATCAGATAGTACAACTCTATGTACTTACAAAAATATTAATTTATATCTACCTAGTCCCAGATCAGTAGAGTAAGCAACGTTTCACATTTTGTGTTCTCACCTAGTTATAGCACCCCCTTCCTGTTCTCAACTCCGTTGAAGCGTTGCCCCTTGGTAGTATTTCTGTTGCTTGTTAGTATCTATTAGGATATGTATTTTTGCCATTTTAAAAATCAACAGTTGTGAGTTACTAAAAAATTGCAAGTGGTTCAAGAATTCCAAAGGTTACTGGAATTCTTTTGCCACAGAAGAGTGTTTCACTAGGTATTTGAGGAACTGATGGAGGAAACACGGTAGGGATCAGTTAGGAGTGGTCAGAAGTCACTTGACCTTTTGAACAGCATTGATGATATCCTTATAGCTTGGGAGTAAAAGAGCCACTATGAAGAAGCACAGCAGGAAAATTTTATGGCTGGAGTCGTGTTATGACTCCCTGAGGTTAAAGGGGGACAAATACTGATTACAAAATACAAGCTGTAAGTTGGTAATGCATCTTCATAGGGACTATGCCATAACAACCTCTTGTAATACGAATTCTGTTTGTGCATCTGTTTCCAGAAAGTAGTCTCACACTCAACGAGGCATGCATTGTACTAGGAAAGTCAACTGGATTCTGAATGGGCCATGTTAGGGATGCCCTGGGACAGTTTTGAACTCTTTGGTGGTTTTGGCCTCAATGATCCATTTCAACTTCAAATCTGTCACTTTATGATATTAAGTACAGAAACACTCTGAGAAGCTGTAGTTCTGCTCTAATTTTTGTTGAGGCGTGGGTGATTCTGATCACTGTAATTCTCTCCTTCCCCCCCCCTCCCAAGACATTTATATGTCTCAGAAAGCCAGTTCACTATGAATAGCCAAAGAATCCCACCTGACACTCAATACCTGGTACTCCAACTAACATGATTTGGAAAGGACTGCTAGAGCTGTGGGGAATTAGTCTGAGTCTTGTGTGTGCATGTGTGTATTTGTGTGTCTTTGCATGCATGTGTGTACATGTTGGGCTCTTACCTGATTGACTGTATCTCCCATTTTGCAGTAATACAAATATAGGTCTTTACAGAACTATTGACTGAGTTGAATGAAGACTGATTCTTGGGCTCTCTGGGTGTTTCTGATCAATGAGATTCCTACTTTCGTGTGTAGCCATTTGTTTTCTTACAGAAATCAGTGACAGTGTACCATGTCTGTTATGTCAATCAACTTTAATGAAGGAACCAACTGCATATGCATGGAGTGTGAATTTCCTCCTTTCTGGAGTCAGGATGTCAAGCTCATTCAATAGCTGACAGCTGTAATTAGAGCAAAGAACGATTCTAGCATAAAACGCACTGACAGGAGAACCCAACTGCTGAAAAAGAAATAAGAAGTAGCCAAACTGACTTTCAACCAACAGTCAATTTTGACTCTGTGCACAGGAAATCAATGAGGAGAACTCGAGCCATATTCCCCCTATCAGTTTTTCACTTTTAATTATTCTTTGGAGGTAGCTTCGTTTAATTTTCGTGCCTTTTTTTGGATCTATAATGAATGTCCAGAGCTGTGCATTATAAAATGTCTTTGTAATATCTGACATGTTTCCCACTCCATCCTCAATATATGTGAATTCCCCTTTTACCCTCTCCTCCTTCTCCCATCCCATTAGACTTTCTTTTGACTCACAGTAAGTGCTAAATAACTTTGAACTCAAGTGAAAATATTAATGAATAATACTTTTTGCAATTACTCGGACTTAACCCCAAAAGTGATACATGCGAAACCAAGTCCACTGTTTTTCACATATGATTTTGTTAGAACGAGATGATTTTCTTCTGGGTGTCTCTCTTTCTCTTTGATAATTTGCTTCTGCTTTCTGGTTAGCTTGAAGAAATCCAGGTAACGTAATGATCTTGAGTTATTTTCTTGGCATTTTCTATACCACCCCACATAGCTATTTTTGGCATTCCTGCCAGTTGGCAAATATTATGAACTGGGCAATGGAATAAATTTTGTGTCCATTTTCTCCTAAGATAAAGCATTGTCACTTAACAGAGCTTCTCCTAGTATTGTAGTTGTTTCCCTCTAGAAAATAGACACTATACTCTTCTAAAATGTCCACAGGCCAGGCATGGTGGATTACACCTGTAATCCCAGCGTTTTGGGAGCTGAGGCAGGATGATTGCTTAAGGCCAGGAGTTCAGGACCAGACTGGGTAACAAAGACATCATTTCTACTAGCATTTCAAAAAAAAAAAAAGGCATAGCGTTATATGCCTGTAGTCCCAGCTACTTGGGAGGCTGAGGGAAGAGGATCACTTGAGCCTGGGAGTTTGAGGTTGCAGTGAGCTACAATCATACCACTCTCTCCAGCCTGGGTGACAGAGTGAGACTTGTCTCAAATAAAAAAAAAATAGTATAATAAAATATAATAAGATAAAATACCTTTTAATACTAGGGCATAATTAGAAGATGCCAGTGATATCAATAAGTATTTTCTATAACCAACCCAATGTCATAGAAGTGCAGTATTATAGATTTAAATATTAGGACAAAGGCACCGTCTAGGGTGATTCCTTTCAGGACCTAAAAGTAATAGAAGTATTCACTTTCCTTAAGGGAATCTTCCCTGTTGGAATTAAATGGTTTCCTAGAGCACAGGATTTGAAGTTGTGTGCAGGTGGGGTTGACATTTCTAGGCATATTTCCTTGTATAGAATAAACAGATCATCAGCTTCTTCATTTATAAGGTAAGAAAGATAGTATCTACTTTAGAAGGCTGAGATGTGAGGTTTAAATGTTATGTGGTTAAAAATGTCTGGCTCATACCAGGTGACCAATGTGGATCATTTAACCTTGTTTCTTTCTTCTGTCTTTTCCTTTCTTTGGCCCATCTTTTTTCTTCCTTCCATTCTTTTCTTCCTCTCTCCCTCCTCATCTTTCGTCAAACCTTTCTTCCCCACTTCCTTCCCCTATTTCCTTCCTGTCTCCTTTCTTCACTATCCTTTCTTTAATCTTCTCTTTCTTTTTACCCTCCCTAGGAAAAATCTCCATAATTCATATTGTTGACATTCTCACTAAAGAACGTCTTTCCCGGGGCCGGGCGCGGTGGCTCAAGCCTGTAATCCCAGCACTTTGGGAGGCCGAGGTGGGTGGATCACGAGGTCAAGAGATCGAGACCATCCTGGTCAACATGGCGAAACCCCGTCTCTACTAAAATACAAAAAATTAGCTGGGCATGGTGGCGTATACCTGTAATCCCAGCTACCCAGGAGGCTGAGGCAGGAGAATTGCCTGAACCCGGGAG